CACTCCCACCCGGTCACATGGCCGGCAAGCCACTCCCACCCGGTCACATGGCCGGAAAGCCACTCCCACAAAGCAGGCCACACCCACAGAAGAGGTTCTTAAAAATTTTGAAACCCACCACTGGACTGTTGTAAGTCAAGGACTACGTGTGTGATATTTTTCTAGGTGACTCTCTTTCGCTACCACAAAGGAAACATCCTGAGACCTAAAGGGACTCAACGGAGGACAAAGAAGCAGGCTCCCCAATTGGCAAACCACCAGTTCTGGATTGACAGTTTAGTGGACCACGTGGTGGTGACCATCCAAGGCTCCGTGGAGTTCTTTGAAATAAGGGACCCTACAGGTAGCCATCTATCTTCCCTCTTATACCGATTTGCTTTCATGTTTTAAGTTTTGAACTTGTTACAAACCACTTTTATACTTTGCAAAATGTTTCTTTTTCTTAACTTCGTGGGAATGAGTGTATGGTTACAACGCTGGATTAACAGTTGAAGAGATCAGAATATAGCCTACTTTCACTTGTAGAAACTCCACAGGGGCCTTTGGCAATCATTTTTGTCTCACAGGATGGTTGGGAGGAAAATAAAAAAGATAGAGTAGAATAATTGGAAGGGACCTTGGAGGTCTTCTAGTCCAACCCCTTGCTTAGGCAGGAAACCCTACACCACTTTAGACAAATGGTAGTCCGATTTCGTCTTAAAAACTTCCAGTGTTGGGGCATTCACAACTTCTGGAGGCAAGCTGTGCCACTGATTAATTGTTCTAACTGTCAGGAAATGTCTCCTCAGTTCTAAGTTGCTTCTCTCCTTGATTAGTTTCCACCCATTGCCTCTTGTCCTGCCCTCAGGTGCCTTGGAGAATAGCTTCTCTCCTTCTTCTTTGTGGCAACCCCTGAGATATTGGAACACTGCTATCGTGTCACCTAGTCCTTCTTTTCATTCAGATTTCACCTAAAGTCCTGTACAAAAATGTGAATTATAAGGTGTCATCTACTAAATGACCTGTTGCTTAGCAAACATTTAAACTTAGGATACAGACCCTGAAAAAAATTACTTACAAATCAGATTCAAAGTCCCAGTGGCCACACATACCCCATGATCACATGATCACATGTAGGGTGCTTGACAATTGGCTCACATTTATGCTGGTTTGCATCATCCCACAGTCACATGACCACATTTTGGCATTTACTTCCAGTTTGTGGCAAAACCAGACCATGGCAAAAAGAAAATAAGTTTGCATAATGATTACAGGATTCATTTTTTGACTGGAGCAAAAAAAGGCTTTACAATTGCCGAAAGGTCAAAAGATTTAGTCGGTCAAGTGGGTGATCTGTTTTATGACCCTTGTGACTTATAGCCATAATGAGCAGGCTCCATTATCATCATAAATCAAGGACTTCCTATATAGTATCTAACAAATGAATGTTTATTAGTATTCATCCGAATTTTAAAAAAAATACTCCTGGTAAATTACTTAGAATAAATAACACAGTTTAAATATTCACAGCACAGTCAAGAAAACAGACAGCCGGGATCAAAAATTGTAATACCGAACAAGGCAAGAAAAACATAAGGATAATTTAAGAATTGGAGATAAAAATGAGACCATGTCAATTAAGGGAAAGGCTCCAACACTGGAGGCTTTTAAGAAGAGACTGGACAGCCACTTATGGTGCAGTGATGGCTAAACTTTTTGCATGGCAGAAACCCGGATACCATCTGGCCAGCACGGACATGCCTGTCTTTTGGCTGTTTTGGGGCCATTTTCTGAGCTGTTTTCAGGCTGTTTTTCGGGCAATTTTTAGGCCATTTTCAGGCCATATTTGTAATACTCTTTGCAGGTGCAATCTGGTCTTCATGGGTGCCAGTGCTGGAAAACGGCCTGAAAACAGCCCGGGTTTTTGGCTGTTTTCAGGCCATTTTCCAGCGCTCTGGCACCAACGAAGACCAGCTGACCAGCGTGCATATGCATTTGGGAAACCAGAAGAGCAGCTGGTGATGGTGCACGTGCCCACATAGAGGCCTCCCTGTCCCATCCCTGGCACGCATGCCATAGGTTAGCCATCACTGCCCTATACCATTTCAGACAAGTGGCTGTCCAGTCCCTTTTTAAAAGCCTCCAGCGATGGCGCACCCACAATTTCCAGAGGCAAGCCGTTCCACTGATTTATTGTCCTTCATAGCTAGGAAATTTCTCCTTAGCCCTAGGTTGAATCTTTTTTTAATGGTCTCAGAAATGAGGAACATGTGGTAGTTACTTTCTAATTGATCTAATTGATCGGGCCAGTTCTGGCTGGTATAAGTGGTCTGGCAGGTTTTATTAGATGGAAACCAGTGCTTGAAATTTAACTTGGAAACCAACCAGTAACCAATGCAGGCCTCCGGAACTGGGTTTACATACTCCTGGGAATCCAGACTATATTCCACTACAACTGTGGAACGTTGCACCATCCATAAAGTGAAACGTGAGGTGGAGGATGCCCCCCTCATCAGAACTTTGAAATGAGATTGCTTTTGGAGGGTCCATCAAAACGTCTAATGGTCACTAAGTGAGCAGTTGTTAAGCGAGTACTACCTATACTTGGGGACGAAGTGGTTCAGTGGCTAGGATGCTGAGCTTGTCGATCAGAAAGTTCGGCAGTTCGCCGGTTCGAATCCCTAGCGCCGCGTAACGGAGTGAGCTTCCATTACTTGTCCCAGTTTCTGCCAACCCAACAGTTCGAAAGCATGTAAAAAAAATGCAAGTAGA